GCGGTTAACCCTCTGCAACTGAAGTCCTTTCCGCTGAACTGAAAGCCGAAACAGGTCTTGTTCCTTTGACAAATCGTCTGACAGTCTTGCGGAGAGGCGGCCCTACCGAAGGTCAACGATGCGACCCCTTCAAATTTAGCAGGAACAAAACAATCAGAGGCTGTGGGAGTTTGCCCCTGTACCATTCCACGGTGGTAGCCGCGCACGCAGTGCTTCTCTTTACAATTATCCAAACATGTTTCGTTGGTAGATCCGCCTTTCGTTGACACACAATTCCCGGTATCATTATTCAAATGGATACAGAGGTCATCGCCGGCGGCCACTCTGCACAAAACCAAGTAGTGCCAACGACGTTCCAACGAGGGACAACATAAAAATATATGTTTCTCTAGCTGACCAGAGCAGAGTTTTTACGTCATGACTTGCCAAAAAAAAAAGGAGGTTAGTTGAGGAAGATTACCTTGCTATTCCCTTCGTACGCTCCAGTCGCAATGATTTTTCCATTAGGATGATAGTAAAGACAAAGGGTTGGCGAGTAGTGAGCCGTTATTCGATTCTCTTCTTCACCCGTGATGGCGTCGACGAGTAGGATCTCGAACATACCGGCATCGGCGGCAGAAGTGGTAACTTCGCTTGCTTCCTGACCACCAGAGAGGATGATGGTGGTCTTACGTTTGGTTTGGTCTTCTTCGTCGAACAGTGGGTTAAGGCTGCATGCGTGGAGTGGCCTATCAGCTAGAATGGTATTAATAATTGAGAAGTCAGTGGTGTTCCATATCTTGGCGCTGCGGTCCAGAGAAGTGGTGACGAATATGGACCTATCTTTGTTGAACGATATGCAAGTGATTGCACCGGTGTGTGCCTGCTTCATGTCGATTGCCTTCCCGTTCAAGTCCCACTTGTAGAGCTTTCCTGAGTCCGTACCCCCAATCACAAACTTGTCGTAGGGGCCCCAGCCACAGATGGTGGGCATTCCATCAAAATTCTTTATCTCGCAAACGGGGTCCCAGTGTCGACTGCCCTGCAATCTGTTCGGGTCGTCGAGGTCGTCACACTTGTACACCTTGAACATCGGCACAGCACACTCTCCACCCATTGGTTTGATACCCACTAACAACATATCCTGCTTCAAGGGATTCCGGTTCCACTCAACACACTCAACCTTCGAACCCTCATTCAACACATTCAGCAAACGACCCGAACAGACATCGTATATAACCACTGTGTCGAAACGACACACCGCCAACTCCGTGGACTTTCGGTTCACATCCAAGTGACTCACCACACGGTGAGCACGCGTCAACGACTCTCGCAACTGTTCTATATTCCAATCATACTCATGCTGATGCACCAAATGGTATGTACCCAAACGGTCACCATTCGAGAGACGCCACACACTCACCAAATCGTCACTACCACTCGTAAATAACAAGTCTCCGTCCTCATTAATCTTAACGCAAGTCACCTTTGCTTCACTTGCGCGCACTGTTATCGAACGCATTTATTCTCGGAAAAAAATACCCCATTCGCGAACACCCCAACCCATTATAATCACTCGCGACAACTTCCTTTTAACACTACCTACTGGAAATAGCTAGCGTTCCAAAAAAGACACTGCTTTAGGGACCGGTCGCTGCGCAAAATGGCCGCTCAGAGCGGACTGCATGTTTCTCTGAGCCATTCTTCGAAGAGCTTGGGAGTGAAGTTCTTGCCTGCGGATTCCGGAATGAGGGTCTTGACGGCGTGTGGGTCGAAGAAGGGCATGAAGGCTTGGAGAACTCGTTTGTGGTAGGCGTTGATTTGTTTGACTTGGTCGGGTGACAGTAACTCTTTTTTGATGAGCTTCTTGCAGTAGGGAGCGAGTGTGAGTTCGTCGAAGCCGAGGTAGTCAACGTTGTTGAAACGGAACGGGCCAGCGACGGTCCTGCAGTAGATCAGGGACTCGATTCGGATGCCGAACTGGCCGTCGACGTAGGCGCCGGGTTCATTGCTGACGACCATGCCCGGTTGGAAAGGTACGTCTCGGAAAGATGGCGGACAGACTTTGGAGATGTTTGGGGGGGCTTCGTGTACTTCCATGGAGTGACCAACACCGTGGCCGGTACCGTGGAGGTAGTCGAAGCCGATTTTCCACAAATGTCTACGGGCAAGGGGGTCCAGTTGGCAGCCGTACGTGTTCTGGGGGAACACGGCCGCGGCCAGGTCGAGGTGACCCATTAGCACACGAGTGTATAACTCTTTTTGCAAGTCGCTGGGCTTGCCCAGGTGCACTGTGCGCGTAACGTCCGTGGTACCCCCTACGTAGTGTGCGCCCGAGTCCACCAACAGCATCCCCGCCGGGTCCAGCTTGCTGCAGCTTTCTTCTTCCGCGCGATAATGGATAATGGCGCCGTTGCTATTTACACCCGAGATGGTCGGGAAGGACAGGGCCACGAAGCTCGGCTGCAATCTCCGGAACTCCTCCAGAACTCTGGCGGCCGAGACCTCGTTGTACGCGGCCACCTCCTCCGGACTGAGTGTCTCCACCCAGGCCAGCCACAGTGTGAGAGCTAAGCCGTCCTGGAAGTGCGCGTGCTGCATACCGGCAATCTCCACCTGGTTTTTCACCGCCTTCAGCAAATCCACGGGCGACTGCTCAACTTGGACCGAGCCCTTGACGGTCCGCACGGCCTCTTCAGCGACGTAGTACACCCCCAGGTTCACGTCGCTATCAACCCAGACGTTCGGCGCCTCAAGCTTCAAAATCGTCTCCACAAAGTCCGATATCATGGCATCGTAGTCCACAATCTTCACGCCGTTCTGCTGCATATAGGCCAGGGGCACACGGTCCTTGGCCTCTGCGTTCTTAACATAGATCGTAAAGTCGCTTTTGGTCACCACTCCGTAAGCCAAAAATATGCGGGAAAATTCCACATCGGTGCCTCGGACATTTGCGAGCCACGCGAGCTGCGACAACTTGGCCAACACCAACAGGTCCGCATGCTTTTCCTCCATGGCCTTGCGTACCTTGTGGAGCTTGGAGTCCGTGCTCTCTCCGCTCTCTGTCATCGCTACGATCGGACCAGCCGGGTAGGCCGGTCGACTCTCTCCCCACACCTTGTCAACCAGGTTCAGCTGGCCGATACAGATGTCTTGCAGACAGGCCTCGTACTCACAGTCCCCGGACTTGCCGAAACTTCCGCCGTGGATGGGTCTCAACTGCGCCTTCTGCAACTTCCCCTTCATCTCCTCCACCCAACGCCGACTAACCACGAACGGGTCGAACCCAAGACGCTTAACTTCGCCGTCCACGATCTCGCTGAACTTCGGACAATCAGGCGTGCCTTGCTTACACAACGTCCACAACGCACCGTCCAACTGCGCCGCCGCCTGCAGAAAGTACCGACCATCCGTCCACAAGTAAGCCTTCTCCTTCGTCACCAAAGCAATGCCCGAAGAACCAGTAAAATTCGATATAAACTCACGACGGCAATCCGGCTTCAAGGGGTACTCGGACTGATGAGAATCTTCCGAAGGGATTACGTACCCATCCACGCAACACTCAGTCATAAGCGCGCGCAACTTGGACAAACGCTCCTGCATCGACATCAAGCTGCTCTCTAAAGATCCCGAAAAAAAAATCGGACTTGCTGTAACCACGAGAAACAGCAAGACCCACCGTCTAAGCAGCATGGGACAGCCGAGGAGACCAAGATCGACCGATTCCCAGTGACGATGCTCGTGGGTATTCTCTGACGATGCTCGTGACGGCTTGGAAAAAGGTAAACACGGCGTTTGGGATATCGCTGACGGCCGTAACCCGGTTCGGGTTGCCACCGTTCGAGGGCAGCCACATGACCGTAGGTGACTCCTGGGGTGAATTCGCCGTGCCAGCGGCCGCCGGTTCGGGCCGCTAGGGGCTCAATAATTACTGCGCTTAGTTGTTCGTTTTGGTTGTTGGTTCTGGTTGGTTCTAGTTGTAAGCAACAGAGGGATGACTATTGCAGTGGGGCGTCTTATAATTCATGCAAGGCGCTAGATACTGTGGAGAGGGTTGTGATGGCTTTGGCGATTCTTGGTCGAAGTCCTTCCTTGAGGATCTGCGTGTGAGACGTCATCAAGTGCTGGACCATTTGCAAAACTTTCGTCCGAATCAGTCGCTCGGAAGCCTCCCTTGCCATGAGGTGTTCATGCACCACATCCGCCACTGTGGGATAAGGAGTGTCCGGAGTCCCCACGGCCACATTCAACTGTTGAGCTTCGATTCCTAGGAAGGATAACCCCGGCGCCACCGATTCCCACATGGACGTCAAGCCAGGACTATCAGAAATAAAACCAAGCGGCCGAACATCCACGGCCGCTGAACCGTCCACGAGCTCCGGACCGTCTACGGCCTCCGCACCGTCTGCGGTTTCCGGACCGTCGACGGTTTCCACAAACGTGAGACCGTCCGCCTCCCCCACAGTATCCTGCGATCCCCCTCTCGGGAGTCCCAGGTCCCATTCGGTGGAGTCCTCCGACCATCCTCTCGTCGGCCGCGAGGCCGGGTCAGCGTCGTCTCGGCCTGGCCCGGCATCTTGGTTGTCTTCGGTCTCGTACCTTGGTACTGGACCATCCTTCGCTTCAGGGTCATCACAATGCTCTTCCAGCTGCTGCTCTGTCTGGTGTTGCCCTTCCTGGCGGTGCCCTTCCTGGTGTTGCCCTTCCTGGTGGTGCCCTTCCTGGTGGTGCTCCAAGAAGGCAGAGACCCCGCCCAGGACCGATTTGATACTGTCCAGATCAGCGGTAAACGCGTCCAGTTGGATCTGGAGATTAATCTGAATTTCATTTTTAGTTAGCGTATCGACTTCGTCGAACATGTCGCCGGCAACCTTAAACAGGTTCTTCTCCGCAGTTACTCGGCGGTCCTCGATCGCCTTGATCTTAGCCTCCAGCGAGGAGTCTGGGACATAGACATCCATGAGTTGCACGACCATGGATGGCGAACCTATGTTACTCAGCCGCTCGGTTAAGCTATCTACAATCCCCTTTTCCACAAACGATAATGGACCATCGGAGTTGGACTCCATTCCTGACGTGGTTAATAAGCCTGGATTTTGTGCAGTCGAAAATATGGTCGAGAGCTCATGGTCGTTCAGCCGGGGCACAACCGGCCTCGTTGCGGGATCGCCATTGTACAGCTCGGGAAGCATGCGATCTATGTTTCTTTGCTCTCGTCTACGGTTACCAATCCCGTCTGGATAGCTCCCCGTAAGGTTACCTTTGTGATTCAACTCATGGCTCAACTTATTGCTCAAATCAACAGCAGCCTCCTTATGCACGCCGGAATCCGGAAATGGGCTTCCACGCGCTTGAGAAGGAGCCTCCGCCGCCGCTGAGACCTCTGTCACCGCGTCCGGTCTAATTTCATCGCTTCTTTGCTCAATGAACCCGTACGACGTTTGAGTAGCCTTACTCGCCTGAACCACCTTCTTCAACGTTGCCTTGTCATCAAAGATTGCCAGTAACTTATCCAGTTCGTCCTCAATCGTCTTCTTCATATTCTCCAAGTGTGTGTTGAAGGACTTCTCGAGGTCTTGCATCATATTCTTTTCGTTCCTAATTAGAGGTAATGGGACAAGACGCGCTTTTCAAGTTACTTTATTCGTTTATCGGTTAATGTTCTAAGCAAGTCGGAGACCTGCGGATACGGTTTCGCGGGGGGTTCAACGGTAACCTACGTAGTCACTAATTGCTATGACCGGGAACTAACTTTTATGACAGGCATTGTATCTTTATCCTTCGTAAACGGCAGCGACCAGCCAGTGACCAAAGATAAGACAGATAATGCATTCAGCCAGAACATAGCACACGTGTGTGCTAACGCGAACAGATCTCATAGACACATCCTACTGAGGCACAAAACGCAGTGGATCATTCCCAGAGTCCCCTCGGTCTCCTCGACCCTCATTCGTTGTTTCTGTAGCCTCGAGAACCTTTGTCTGAATTCCGGCAAAACGATTTAGACCCTCGCTAAAACGTTCATCTAAACCGCTCAATGCCACGAGATGAAGAGAATCTGAGACAGGACCTGGATTGGCCAATGCAGGAGGGGAAGTGATCTGGATAGGGGCCAGCAGAGCGGGGCCAATGGAATCCAACTGGAATTCGGGCAATGGAGGCATGTCAAGCAATTCAGCGAATGGGTCGTCTTCGGCTTCCTCGCTAAAGGATTCTCGCAGTGCCTCTTTTAAGGGCTCGGCTACCGGATCCAAAACAAGTTCGGGCATGGCAGGCTCGGCTACCGGATCCAAAATAAATTCAGGCATCGCAGGTAACGGATCCAAAATAAAGTCAGGCATGGCAGGCATATCTACCAAGTCCTCGGTAACCGGGTCCACTGCAAATTCAGGGGTACCAGGCTCATCTATCGGCTCCATAATGAATTCAGGGATGACAGGCATGTCTACCAAATCCTCGAACGGATCTTCCACTTTGAGTCCGACCTCAGGTGCCGGAACCGTCGTGGGCTCCTGCGCCAGCCCATTCGCCTGGTGCACTGGTTCCTGTGCTGGTTCCACTGGTGGGTTCGGCTCAAAAGACATTGGGTGAGGGATCGTGAATTGCTCAAAGGCCGTAGTCAATGCCGGAAATTCCGCACTGGCTATGTAGGCTGGAGTTCCTGTCTGGAGCTGCCGGGGCTCCTCGGGATCATTCTGGTGACCCGCGATCGGTTGATGGGTAACCACAGGTTCAGGAGCCGGGAGTTGAAGGGGTAGGTTGTCGACAGCCGGGGGTTCCGTGCCCCTGTCGCCAAAGCCATGATGATCGAGGGTCAGATCGGTGGTGTCCAGCGGCCGCCCCGATTCGTTCTCTGTCATTGAGCATTTGTCATCTGCAACCGATCGTTTGTCTTCGCTGTGCTTGTCTTCGGCAGTCGAACCCTTGTCTTCGGGAGTCGAGTGGTTGTTTGCGGTTGAACCCTTGTTATTTTCCATATGCGGTGATTTAAGCTCTACAGGGACATGAGGCACCTCCAGCATTGCAGGCGGGAGCGCGGAAGGAAACGCCGGGGGTAGAACGGGAAGGAAGCTGGGTGGGTCATCCGACCCCACGGGGCTGATGTCTTCCGTGAAGTGGAATAGCACTTCTTGTGGCGGTCCATTAGAGGCCCAGTTCAACACGGCCTCGGGAAGTTCCGATGGAACGGGGGCCACCAATACTGAAGGAAGAATCTCAGTTTGATTCAGAACCTGGGCATCCGTGCTCGCTGCTGACCAGGCGCCCGTATTCTGAGCCCAGACCCCGGTGCTTGCCGGTTGGTTTCCAACAGCCGGCATTTGCTCCAGCGCCGGCATTTGCTCCATAGCCGGCATTTGCTCCAGCGCCGGCACCGGCCAAGCCGGCGGTACTGAAGATGACTGTATAGAATGTTCAATTGAGGGTTCCCCTGACGGTTCTATCGGGGCGTCTATTGAGGCTTCCATTGAAGGTTGCATGGGAGTTCGCAGCTGGATCGGGGCGGTCCGCTCCAGACGTCGAGTCGTCAGTCGCGTGTCAAACTGGGGGTCTTCCACGTCCGCCACGAAACCACCGCCAATGGAACTCTCCTCAGACGCGAGCTGCTCAATTCCCGCCGGCTCCGGACCAGCACCTTCCTTAGGTCCCCCGGGACCACTAGGATCCTCACCAGGAACATCGTAGTCACTCATTTCAGGCTCAGAGTGTACCAAAGCATTGACACTCTGCCCCGCACTGACTTGGTACTCATCCACAGCTTTACGGTTTTGAGAGAGCCAGGTAATGTTGATGAGTGAGGGACTAGGGTCGGTCATAATCTGAGCAGCCATTGTCGGGTCACCCACGGTCATATCGGCCACGACGGGACCAGCTACCACGCCGTCAACGATCTCTCGTCCAGCCGGTATGTCATCAGCTCTTGCCTGTCGAACCGCAATGGCATCAATCACTAACGGATTGGCCACCTTGGCAGTAGTCGTTGCGCCGTCAACCACCACTGGACCCATCGCTACTAGGTCATCCACCCTCTGAAGAGTCACCATTGGGTCAACCACTAGCGGATTAACCACAACGGGAGTAGTCATCGCGCCGTCAGTGACTACTCGACTAGCCATTGTGTCATCAAGCCTTGCCTGTGCAGCCACAGTGAGGTTAAAAGCCAACGGATTAATCACTAACGGAGCCGCCCCCTCGCCGGCTGCCGGATGAGCCATCGTGCCACCAAGACTTGTCTGTCCGGCCTCAGAGAGGTCAACCGCTAACGGGTAGCCCACCATGGGAGTAGTCGCTTTGCCATCAACCACTACTGGGGTCGTCGCAACTGGATCATCCATCCCCGGTACAGTCACTATCGGGTCAACCACTAACGGACTGACCACAAAGGGAGTAGCCGTGGTGCCGTCAGTGACAACTGGGCCAGTCACTGCGTCATCCTTTGCCTGTTCAGCCTTTGCCTGTTCAGCCTTTGCCTGTTCAGCCTTTGCCGGCCCAGGCTTTGTTGGCACCGCCTGGCTACCTGTCAATGGGTGGCCTGCTGCTGATTTGGCCACCACGGGAATAGTCAACTGAGCCGGAGTCGGGTCGGGGAGAGTGGCCACGTCGGGACTTCTTGCGGGCGAGTTCGTCGTGGTGAATGGTTGTCGGGCGCTAGAGCGCCCGACGCTCGGGCCAGTTTGATCTGCGTAGGGCAGGGCCGTGTTCGGTTGCCCTGCCGCAAATGGGCTGACAGCAGGTAGGCCGTTCGTTCGTTGCTGCAGCAAGGACAACTGTGCTTGGGCATGGTAGAGTTCGCGGGCGAGATAGCCGATAATCCGGACGAGATCTTCCCGGGAAAATTCGTGCATCTCGGACAACTCGGGAGTGCCCGGCCAGACTGTCATCTGAGCAGTTGGTTTTACGCCAGTTCCCTTCACGCCAAGGACCCCAAGTTCGTTGCTCGGGCGGTCGCTAGGGCCGACGACGAGGTTACGTTGGTTTAGATCCGCAGCCGTCAGGTCAGCTGCGAGGGCGTGAGGAACCACGTTGTGTGGAACCACATTGGGTGGAACCACATTGGGTGGAACCACATTGGGTGGATCCGTATAGTTTGCCGCCGCGGAGGGAGAGAGTGGGCTTTGTTTGTGGAGCGTCTCTGCAATGGTATCTACTTTCTTGTTTAGGTTGGTGAGTAGGTCCAGGAGTTGCGGGTCGGTAGTGCAGTTGCCGGAGATACGGTTAGATGCGAGTGCGTGTGCGAGTGTCTTGAAGGCGGGTATGCGGTGTCTGATGAGTAGTTTGAGTAGAGTATGTGGGGTGTATGAGGATAGTAGGAAAGTGAAGAGGGACTGTTTATTGAGCGGCAGGAGAGTGCAAGGTTGCAGTTTGCTGGCGGAGTTGGTAAGAGCCTTGAAGTGGTCTTCGAGTGCACCGAGTTGGCATCGGAAAGCGGGTGCGGCATTCTTGGGGCAAATGAGTGTTCGTTCGAGACGATAAATGTTCTTGAGTTGAGTCGTACAGGCACTGACACCTGTGGCACCGATGGCCGCTTCTAGTCGTGGCACTGCGGCCATGAGTACGTCCAAGTCGCTCTGAGCAAAGACTTTAAAAACTTCTTCTGTATGGTAGACGTCAGCCGCCTCCACCAGCTGCATGCTACGGCCCACCACACCCACTACGAACAACGCACACTCCAGCGCCTCCGGTGCCGTCGGGTGAGTTACTACGTACTGCGCCGCCGCCGCCACCGTGTCCAGATGGTTTAACATCACTCGCTTCTCGAAGTGGCAATTCTCCCACAAAGCTACCGGCGCTTTTCGGCGACTATTCGTCTCCTCCAACGTCGGGATTGCCCGCAATGACGAGCTCCAAAGCAACAACGTGTCCAGCACCGCCTGGAGCTGTTCGGCTCTGTGCCCGTTCTCACTGCGCTGATCCTCACTCTGCTCGTCCTGGTTCGGCTGATCCCTGCTCGACTTATCCTGGCTCGGCTGGGCTCCGTCCGGTTGGTCAGTGGACTGCTCGCCTTTGAGGAGCGTGGCCAGGCAGCCCATGAGTGAGTCGAGGCGCGAGAGCTGTTCGTCGCACACGGCTGCACTGGACAGTGTGGCGCGGAATTCGGACTGCGAAGGGCCCCCGGTCGCGACGGCCGCTGCCAAAACAGTGAGAGCGCCGCGGAAGGGTTCAACGCCGGCGTTATAGGGGTCGTGCAGACAGGCCTCGATCGCATGAAGCGCGGAACCCGGCGGAATGGCGAAGCTCGGCTGCAGACACATCATGCTGACCACGGGCGTACCGGAAAGCAAGCTTGCCCAAAAAACAGCGTCGCCGTAAAGTGAACTGACGCGCGAAAGCTGGAGCACGCGTTCGGCATACGCGTCGAACTCCGCTCCGAGAGAGGTCCACATCGCGAGCAGTATATCCGCCACACACGCGTGCTGCTCGCTCGTCCGGTCCAAGCTCTCTGCATACCCCAGCAACTGGTCCACGAGGTTACCCGACGCGACTGGGGGCGAGGCAGTACGAAGGGCCAGAGTTTTGTGGCTCAACAGGTCTTGAAGGCGGCGCTTGACGGCGGAGACCTTGGCTGCCCGCTGCTCCTCCTGCGTCTCGTCGTCAAGCACGACGAAGCCCCGGACCAGGGCCAGCCACGGCTCGCAAGGCGGCATGTGCGCAATCTTGACCATGAGAGGAACGTTCGCGCGCAAGTAGACGGCGCCTTCCGGCTGTTCGCAGATGGCAGCAATGGTCGACAATGTCCGTCGTGTACTGCGCGAGACACTGTCGTCCAGCAGCACCTCGATCAAACCACGCACAATAAAAACGCTCCTCATACGCACACTCACCTGAGCAATTTCACACAACAACTTCTCCGCCTCGCTGCGAACCGTGCGCAAGCGCGGTAACTCCAACCTCGGTACGCTGTCTATCGCACCACTATCGGTCCCATTGGTCGCATCAAAGCGGGTGTCAACGTGTGCGTCTTTAATTAGACTCAACATGCAGAACAGATTCTCCACCAGCGGCGGGTCCGACTTGATGAACTTGTCGAACTCTCGGACCGCCGACGGACTGGTCTGGCACAACCAAATCTGAATCCCGATAGCATCCACAATCTGCTGATGGTGCTCCAGTATGTCTTCCACGCTATTCGCCTTCGTGTACCGCCATAATACCTGGCCATTCTCCATCGCACTTGAGACGGAACGACCAACGATCACGTCCCAGTTGCCCTCGTTTACCACAAGCTGATCGTCGGCATTGGTCAGGTCGCTACCGTCACGGGCGGCACTATAGTGATCGGCCGCTTCGCCGGCCACCGAGCTTCTTTGTAGCGGATCTCGGACGTACAATAAAACTTCCAGTGCCTGCGCACATGCTCTTCCGACCATCTGGACATCGTTCATGTGAGTATTCAGCACCGCAGACCGCTTCAACTCGGTGGCATGCCAGCTCAAGTAAAACGGAGCCACAGTATGCAGGAACTGCGCAGCGAGACTGACTACCGACTTGCGAATCACGGGAGGAAGCGACGAAAGAATATTTGGACAGGCAGAAACGTCGTCATAGATTTTATCCAGTTGGATACGCAACTGGCCATATACTTCGCGGTAGATGTTCCACACCGGTCTCGATACTGCCAACGGAAACATATCCTCCCGGGCCACCACCTTCCAGATAGGAAGGGATGAATCACCGTTACAATAACGACTACGTAACAACTCCACATGAGCGTGCAACAAATTAAACCAATCATACGGATCATCCGTCCTGTCCAATACATCTTTCACTCGTCTCACTTCCGCCTCTAAATCAAAGCCATGGTCAGACTGACTCTCATTAATCGGCGAGTGCATGAATATTAAGTCCCCCAAAAAAAGCTTTTTAGTCCTGCAGATAGGATGCAGACGAAACACCTCCCCCTTTCTCCGGACATGTTACACTTCTCTCAAGATCTAATTCATCTGCAAGAAATCAATCAGCTCGACATGATGTCAGAACATGCACGAGTGGCAACATACTCGCGCATGAATACACATATGTTATGCACACATGTTATACACACATGTTATGCACACCTGTTATGCACAGTACACAAGAAACCTGTTATGCACAGTACACAAGAACGGACAAGGATTGGGGGTGGTGGAGCATACTTAAAGCAAACCAATTGGTAGACGTATCCTCTGTACATGACGTGCCTCTAATTATTTCCGTAAGCAAGCCACCTAGTTCATTGTCAAGTAACGAATTTGAAGCGGCAACCGATGACTGGTATCTTTGTAACGATACTGACGCTGATCCCTCGGGTTCGCCAAAAAACTGAAAGGAGGTTGAGTAGTCGTTAAGGCGGTGTGAACATACTGAGCAATTGAAGGGTTTAGGGTGTGCTAGCAGCGAAGGCAACTGGTGGTTGCTAGTTGATGTACTCGGAGTCGCTTCGTGGCGGTACGAAGCCGAGTTGGTGGGTGTTCTGTCCCTGGGGCCTAGATCCTCTAAGTCTACTCGTTTGGATTCATAGCTGAGCATGGGTGAATTTCTGTTTGTCGTTTTCTTTCTCTTGCCTCTCTGCTCGTAGTTTCCTTTCTGTTTTTGGTCTTGTTTGCCTCGTCTATTTTTGGTCATGCCAGGAACTAATCCCGGAGCGATGCCGCCGCCGCCATAACCCATATGGAGCACGTGGCCCGGGTAGCTAGATTGGCCAGAGTAACCCGACTGGCCAGAGTAGTTGGACTGGCCAGAGTAGGGGAGGTAAGGTGACGACTGGCCAGAGTAGGGAGGATAAGGCGGCGACTGGCCAGAGTAGGGGGTGGAATAAGGAGAGAAGGGGGACTGGCCAGGGTAGGATGACTGACTAGGATACGCGCCATATGTTGGCGGTCCGGGATACGGCATTCCACCATTAAGTGAGTAGGCATGTGACATAGACCCGCGCGACGCATGGGACATCCCTCCAGGGGACGCGCCGTGCGGTGAAGCGCCGTGGGGTGAAGCGCCGTGAGGAGACAAGACGGGGTGGGAGGTGTGCCTATGACCCGCTTTGCGAGTGAGTTGGCTGGGCGCAATAGTCCGCAGTATCTGGTCCGTCATGCCTCTCTGTATCTGCACAATGATTCCGTTGTCCTCCATGTGCAGCACGAAAAAGTGCTGGTACAGCTGCAACACAATCTGCAGCTTACTCTCCGTTATGAACAGGTACGAGCGCGCCTTCAGGGACAATCGGTTCCCGACGCAAGACAGAGTACAGACGTCGCCGTTCGCCTTGACTGCGTGGTACACCTCTAGCAGCAAGTCGCGTACGTTGTATTGAGCCATACACATTACATCGATAAATTGATGCATTCCGACCGTGAAGACGATCTCGTTACTACCCGGCGCAGCATTCCCTAGGCCGGCACCCTCTGATCCCGCACCCCCTAGGGCCGCACCCCCTGGGGCACTGACGCTCGCATCATCTCCACCATCTGCCGCAGTACCATCTGCCACAGTACCGTCTGCCAGAGTACCATCTGCCGCAGTACCATCTGCCGCAGTACTGGTCGCGGTATGAGCGCTCGCGGCGACGCTACACGCGGCGACGCTACAGATACTTCCTGCGACACTGCTAGCACTGGCGCCCGTTTCGTCAATAGGTCCGGATGCGTCGCTGCTGGCTTCGCCGGCGCGACCATTACTCAGGTCGGGGCAAGGACTCAAATCTTCTGGTTGCCACGCGTCGGGGTTGAAGAGCTGCATGTCGAATGCGGTAGCTGGGTTGATGTCGTGGTATATGAGCGCAGGCACCTTTAGGAAGACCGTGCTCATCAGCCCCCGGGGGTACTCCGTTTGTCGGAGGAGCGCAGAAGCGGCCACACTCGCATGCCCGTTGTCGCCGTGCTGGGCGTAGGGCGCCCCGCAAAAACCGCAACCTGACCGCGGATCCTCCACGCCACAACTCGGCCGCAACAGACCTCGGCGCTGGTCGTGGCCCTTCTTGCTCAACGGGCAGTGCGGAGGCAACAGACAAAAGACCTCTATAAACCGCTTGCTCCCTCCCATCGCCTGTCTGTGCAAATTTTCCCACGCGCTCCGCGCTCCCGCCGGTGTCCGGAACGTCGCCAAGGCGAAACCGGAATTGAACTCCTCCGCCTCTTCGATCAAGATAACGTCCTCCAGCTCCGCGGCATACTCGGTCCCAAACCACGCGATCACGTCCTCTCGGGTAGAATAATAAGGTAAACTAAAATGCACATATTACGACGTCACACATATTATGACGACACACACATTACGACCAAGCACCGACCTCCTGAATATCGACCAGTCCACTCGTGCCGAGTGTCCACTCGTGCCGAGTGTCCGGTCGTGCCGAGTGTCCACTCGTGGACCCCCACCCCTTCCTGAATTTTGACCCGTGATCGCCTACCCTCGTAACTTGATAATTGGGAGAAAGGAGTGACGACTTGGTGCCAGCAATGATTTAGTTCGCCATCCTGCCAGCTCACTCTTCCTGAAATGCAATCTTCCCCGACTATGCGTCCTCGATGGGTTCCCATGCATTTAGTAAAAAACTATTAAGATCAAATGCCGCCAAGAATAACACCCCCGAAGCTAACCATCGCCATTGATGTTGATGAGGTCCTTGCCCAATTCTTACCGGGTATGTTCACACCCCTCCCACTGCCTGTTTTCACTCATTGGCCGCCCTGATAAACCTTTAGCTGTTTTCTTTGTTCCTCGTGTAGGTTGCAATCGCTGGTACAACCGGAAGTTCGGGACGAATTATCGGGTAAGTGACTACAAGTCGTACACCTTTTGTGAGGTGTGGGGCGGCACCAATGAAGACGCAATTCGCGAAGTCTACGAGTTTTTTGAATCGGAGGACTTCGCCAATTTGGAGGTAGTGGAAGGGGCCAAGGAAGCGGTGGAGTATTTTGTTAAGGAAGGGCACGAGTTGGTTGTGGTCACCTCACGACAGACCGTCATTGCCGAGGCCACTCGGCAATGGTTGGACCGCAACTTCGGAGAGGGCGTGTTCAAGCACGTCGCCTTTGGGAATGTCTGGGTGCCGCGGGATGACCAGGGGCAGAAACGGAGCAAGGCTGAGCTGTGTAGGGAGCTACACGCCCAGGTGCTCATCGACGACCAACCCAAGTACATCCACGAGGTAACTGGCACCGTCGAGCTGCCCATACTGTTCAATCTGAACCACATGTACGGGTGGAGCGAACCCCATCAGAACCCCCTAGACCATGCGCCCATTGAGTTAGTCGCATACAACTGGAAAGAAGCCGTTGCGCTGGTCGACACCTATCAAAAATCACTTGCGACGACCGCCATGCAACAATCGAGTTAAACTACGCCTCAAACAACCCGCCCTTACCCCATCAACGCCTAAAAGAAACGTTTGCAACGCCCCACACAGTGTGAGCAAGCCCGGCGTGAAATGTTTACTTGATTCACTGGTGTTCCCGATGGACGTCTCCTCATCCGAGTACGAATACGCAAACTTCAAACTACAACTTGTACTAGGTTCAACGTTAGTGCTTGACTCTTCTTTATGAAAACCGTGTGTGCGCTCCTTGGTGCACTCCTTGGCACTTGGCGCGGCAGTTTGGTTCCCCGGTGGTTGGCGTGATGAACCGCTGGAGGTTCCGGCACTTGACTTCGGGGCGGCAGTGTCGTTGTAAGGCTTCGTGGTCCGACGACTGCTGGATGAAACATCGCGTTGGCGGGTCGAGGTGCCTGATTGTCGAGAGCCGAGAGTCGTATCAAGGTGGGTCGTCTCCGGAGCTGTCCTAGTGACTGATGACTTGTGGGTCGTCGAGGACCTTTCGCTGCCCCGTCGGGACCTTGGGGTATCTACTGGGGACCTTGGAGTATCCATTGGGGGGGACCTTGGGGTATCCACGGGGGACCTGTAGAGGGACCTGTGAGAGGACGGATGGGTAGTGGAGGACCTGTGAGTCATCGAGGACCTGTGGGTGATGGAGGACCTTTCAGCGACACTGAAGCGTTGGGACGAATTAGCGGGAGACATTAAACAAGGAGGCAACACCGAGCTGGGAGGCGCAGATGACCCGCCAACGGATGTACTGGTAGTGAGTGCAGCTGTTGACTTCTGGCTAACGATGGACCTGGCGAAGATCGGAGGGGATCCCGTTCGCGAAGACGCAGTTCGCGTAGACCCGGTTCGCGTGGACCCGCTTCGCGTGGACCCAGTTCGCGTGGACCCAGTTCGCGAGGGCTTGGACAAATTCTCGGTCTTGGCCAATCGACTGGCCGTCAACCGACTGACAGGTGACGAACCGGTGACCGGTAAGGGACTGGAGGCCGACAAAGCTGGTAGCGTTGTCCGCATGGTACCCTGGACGGGATCGGACGACCTCGAGGGCTCACATTTTTGGGGGTTCTCGGAGAAGTAAATGGCTCCACTTTCCACCCCATTGTAGGGCGAACCGTCCGCGCAGCACCGCCTGCGAGTGTCTTGCGTACTGGCCGCCCGCTGTCGCTGACTCGGTGACAGGTCGAACCGGATCCTCCTCCGCTCCACTGAGGAGCTGCACGAAAAACGTCGAGAGCCCGCGATCCGGGCACCACTCACCCCGTCCCGGCCGCCACTCACCCCGTCCCGAGCCCCGCAAACGATTCTTCGGTCAGACTGCACGCGACATGAGTCTGTGCGAAAACCCTTTGCAGCACACACATTTCGTGTGTGCTCAGTATTGACGGCGACTGCTCGAGACTCGGTATAGGGATCCTGTCTAGTAGCAAAGGGATGCGGAGTTATAAACGGATCCTGTCCGGTAATCGTATCTTGTGGAGGTGGATCTTGCCGCTCGCCATAGTCATTCCGCGTCGCTGGATTTGGGGGGGACAAGGTGGTCGCATTTCGCTCTCGCGGCGACAGGGAGCCTGATGCTTGATCTCGAGGGGGAACGCCTAAGGAATCTCGAGGACTAGGGGTTGTTTCGAAACCGTGGTGAACAGCGGAAGTGGCGAGGGCTAGTCCGACAAAATGGATTCCGTAAGGCGGGGCAGCGTTGGAGGGAAGCCGCCACCTACGAAACGTAGAGGCGCTCCGCTGATGGGCCGTGTCGCCGGACAATTTGCCGCCATTTCGCTTCAGCAAACCTACTTGATCAATTGAACTCATATAAAACGTTCATACGCTCGGCACTTTTTATATTCATACCAACGAAAAAATCCCCGCCACCCTTCCGATCCACCTCCACCTCCCAGACCATCTTGTTCAACACAACATCTTGTTCAATACAACATCTTGTTCGGGCTAAGACCACGCGAAAATCACGTCTGTTTGCGGATCAATGTTGGGACCAAGTGGTCGACCTCCTTCTATGAACTTTGGGATGTGCTTTTTTTAAGGAATGCCCCTCCTAACGTTCACTGGTATACCAAATAAAATACAAAGTCAGTCAATACCTAAGGCGAAAAATTCTTTTAAATAGACCAGTCGGGCTTTGAGACTCCATCCATGTGGGCTCTTGTTTTAGGGAGCTCCGTCTTGTTCCATGACCACAGACGGCTGAAGAATGAGGGGGCCTCCGTGGGGGCGTACTCGTCCAGCTTGATGAGTACAGGCTGCTTCGGGGTAGGCGCCGGAGTGTTTGTGGTCGAGTCACTGGTCGAACCCAAACCGAAGAAGCTGATTATTTTGTTCACAACACCGCTATCGTCGTTGTCTTGAGAGCCGCGGAGTTTAGGACTGACTGAAGCCACGTGAGCAACACGACCGGATCGGGCGTGCTTGTAGGTGTTCACGGCGGGACCTCGAGCGCCGTTCATCACAGTCGGCTTCAGACTCTCACTCTTCGACACAGATGCCGCCACCGCCGGGCCTCGGGCTCCGCCAACCTTGACAGGTGAAACTTTCGGTTCTACAACGGCCGAATGCGCAACACGACCAGAGGGATGCGAAGGGGTGCTAAGGCTTCGAACCGCAGGGCCACGAGCACCAGCGGCAGGAGCTCGGGCAGGGACCGTAGGAACTTTCGGCATTCCTCCCAAGCTGCGAGCGACATGGGCAACACGACCAGAGGGATGCAAAGGGGCGCTAAGGCTTCGAACCGCAGGGCCACGAGCACCAGCGGCAGGAGCTCGAACAGGAACCGTAGGGATCTT